ATGTCCCTCAGCGGAACAGACTTTTAAAAGTCCCGATTTTGTGCTCCGTTGCTCCGCCGCTTGCCGGGAGCCGGCCCCTCCCCCCGGGGTCTGTCTTCCCGCCCCTTTGGATTCACTTCTCCGCCAGTCCTACCTTTCAGCAAGTGGTTGATTTTCTGTTTCTAGAATTGCTGTTCTTCTTCTCTTCGATCTCCCGTTGGATTTGTAGGTGTTTGCAATCTTTAGATAAGCTATCTAGCTGATCTCCCGCAACCTGAAGTAGTCTCAGCTGCTACTTCTCCGCCATCTTGACTCGACATTTATGTTTTTATCTAGGAATTCATATCTTATTAGGAGAAATCAGGCTATTTTAATTATTTGAATATACATATTTTAAATCAGGTAGAGAAAAGTACCCATCCAAAGCACGTAGCGGAAGTAACACTTGGTCACATGTCATCCGGAAAGGCTAACAGTACGGAAACAAAAAAAGCTATAAAATACCAAATTAAAGCCATTCATGCTATCCATGTTAGTAGCTTATTCATGTAAAATAGTCTTAACACTTACCTCTACCAAATCCATGTCCTTAAGACTCCGTCCTGTTTTCTTCAGTGCCCCACTGATAGCAGGGACGGGACCTACATAAGAACAAAATCAGTTCCATCTTATGTGGCAGTTATTAGTAGCCACAAATCTTACCGCCTTAGCACATTATGCAATGATAGGACCATAAAAAAACAGAAAACAGAACCAAAGTGAAAAGCTGGTTGTGCAAAAGTATAAATGAGAGGCTCACGTGGAGATTTCTGCCAGAAACAGCTTTAAGAGCTCAGGCAGGGGCACCTGGGTGGCTCAGTTGGTCAAGTGTCTGCCTTCGGCTCAGGTCATGATCCCAGGGTTCTGCGATCGAGTCCTGCATTGGGTTCCCTGCTCAGTAGAGAGCCTTCTTCTCTCTTTCCCTCTGCCTGCCACTCTGCTACTTGTGCTCTCTGTCAAATAAATAAATAAAATATTTTTTTAAAAAAAGAGTTCAGACAGCCAAAGGAGTCCTCTATGGGGTTCTGCAGTCATTGACAGATTGTGCCTCCTACCGAAGGTGAAGGCAGACTGAGTGCTCTCCTGGGTCACAAGTAATATGCATTCCCAGTAAAGAATGACTGTGGCCACTCTGAATTTTTCAGATCCATCTGGACGGAAGACAAGAAACGGCAGCTGTATCTCCACGTGGGCACAGCAAGACAGGAAACCACAAGGCACTTCAAGGAAAAGATACCTAAAGCAAAGAAGCGTTTCTATTGCCAGTGGTAGGCAGAGATTTTAAACAAAACCAAACCCCCATGGCAGAAATGCAAATCTACCTAGTAAGACTTCTGAAACTTTAGCTCCCAGATTACTGACGATCACCAATGACAGTTTAACGCTGCTCAAAATTTTCAAGTTATACTAATATTTTCTCCCGAGAGGTAAAAAAGCTGGCTGAAGAAGATTATCTATTTCACTATTCTCAGAGAATGGAATGGCCATGTCTAAAAAAATTTGTGCGTTATGTTCTATTGAGTTTAAGTAGTCAGATATTCTGCAACAAGTGTCATACATATGCCTAAGGTAATATGAGAAATCGGTCTTCACAAGAGAAGCATGATGCAATCCAAACACAGTGTACTTTGTTTTGTCACCTAGTTAAAATGTTCCTTGGACAGCCATCTCCTTACCGGTGAAGGGCATCCGAATAGCGCTTTTCAATCTGGCTACCGATTTAACATAAAACCTAGTTCTAGATTCTCTTTGAATGTCTAAGGCACAAAAATAGGACAGTCAACAGTGGAGCCAGCAGTTAGCCAGCATGGCCAGGGATAAAGTACTCTACAGGGGTCAGAGACACACGGAACCAAAAGTTGAGGGTCTAACTCCGCTCTACACACCTCCTTGTCTTCATCTCCACAGTAAGCGTGACTCAGTGCATTCTTATTAACTCAGAATCATTAGTCAATTGCTAAAAATACGCGGGGTCACAGTCTGAGTTTTAAAGGACTGTTCCCGTAACACTGTTACTGGACTTCACAGGGACCCAGAAAGTTGTAATGATCTTGTTGGGAAAAGGGGACCTTATTTCTAGTCCTGCCACTGATAGCTATGTGATGCTGAGCACCTCTTTTGGGCTGTAAGCTTTCTCATCACAAGTGCTCTGAACTGGTTTTTAACCTTCTTTTTAACCACTGGAATCCTCTCTACAAATGAAGTCCAGTAAAAGATAAAACCAGAGCTGCTATACCTGCAGAGGTTCAAGGCTTCCCCCACCACTGCTGCCACTGGGGAGTTCCAGGGAACACTGACTGTCTTTCCGGATGTGTCCTTCCTGGGAGCCACTGCAAGTCCCAAGTCCCCGCTTTCCTCCCTTTTCTGGGTCAGCAGTTTCTCTTGCAAGGCTAAGGATTGCTTGATGTTGGATAACTACATAACCGAGGGCACTATTCTTAGAAACTGGAGTGATGAATCAATCCCCACCACTCAAAAACCACTCTCCGTTGTTTATTCATTTGGGGCAATCCGTGTAGTCACCTTGTTTAATCCCATACAACAACCGACAGACAGCTGTCTAGTGAAGGGACATCTGACACTGGGGCATTTGGCGTTTATGGCTCTGCTCAAGCCCTAAGGGAAAAAAGCAATCCTTCCACAATGGTATTCATTACACTGCAGGGCCAGCATCCAGACTCTGGAACAGAAGAAAGGAAAACTACATTTTCTTCTTTTTTTTTTCTTTTTTTTAGATTAATATCTATCTAACAGAGACACAGCGAGAGGGGAACACAAGCAGGAGGGGTGAGAGAGGGAGAAGCAGGCTTCCCTCTGAGCAGGGAGCCAGAGGGCTTCGACCCCAGGACCCCAGGATCATGACCTGAGCCGAAGGCAGACGCTTAATGACTGAGCCATCCAGATGCCCTGGGAAAACGACATTTTCTTCACTATGTTAATGTACCAGAACCTATTCAGTGATATTAAACTGAAAAGAACTATAAAATAACTACTTACCTATATCAAATAAATTTGACTGATCATCAGGACGAGCCAGGTACACCTAAACCCCATACTTCCCAGGCTCCACCCTGGAACTACTGAAACAAAATCTTTTGGGGTGGGGTTATGGGGTCATGGGGAGATTTTGATGATCATTTGGGGTCTGGGAAACCACTGTTCCAGACACTGAAGTGATAAATACCATACTTTTTAAAGCTACTTTCCATCTCTAAAACAAAAGCAGTGTTTTGGTGAAAGCAAGGAGCTTAAAGCTAATTAAGCTTTTAAACCTGAAACATAGAAAAAACTGACTTTTAACAGATGGTCACATAGCTTACGGTTTTGGTTAAAGTAATCTGAAACACAGTGAAAGTGACAAAATATGGACAGATACAGTTGGGTATTTACTATGTCCCCAGTGAGCTCAAATGCTATTACTTGAGAAGAACTTTGAGGGACAGACCAAAGGATCTCTGAGAACACAGGTCAGCAACAGGTCGTCCCCCTTCTACCCTGGATCCTGCTTCAAAATCCAATTTAGTTGGAAAAGGCCTAACTGCGCTCACAGAAAAACCTCTGGACCCATCGAGAATCTGAATCTAGCCCCAGAGTAGCCTTTTCTTTGGGGTATGAGGGTACAGACGGGATAGGACAAAGCCTCCAGCACTAGTATTTTTTAAGTGAGGCGCCTCATCAATTCTGTTTCCTGGAGAATGATGACAGACATTACTAAAATTCAGCACATCTGAGGTTCCTAGGAGCACATCCAGCAAAAAGCTGTTTCTTTTCCTAATTCATATATTTCAAGCCAAAAAGAGCATACAGCTGGCCCTTAAACAGCACAAGTTTGAATGGAGCAGGTCCACTTAAGTGCAGATATGGTCAATACAGCACAGTACGATGAATATATTTGCGTACAGTTTTCTTAAGAACATTTCCTCTCCTCTAGTTTACCGTGAGAACACAGTGCGTACTCCATGTAACACACAAAGTGTGTGTTAAAAGCTTATGTTACAGGTCAGACTTCTGGGCAACAGGAGGCTCTTAGTGGTTACGTTTCATGGGAAGCAACAGTTGTACTTGGACTCCAGCTGTGTGACGGTTGGCACCCCTCGTCCCCACGTTGTTCAAGGGTCAACTATACACACTTGTAGGGAGCTCTCCTGCTCATCTCTGCCAAACTGAGATCCACTGGAATCCTTCATTTTCCTATTAAGTGGCAGCTGAGCCAGGTGGGCGTGACTCTGACTTCCGGGACAGCACAGAGGGAAGAGCATTTGAATTAAGAGAGGCCCGGTTCCCATCCTGGCTCCATCACTTACCTGTCTGGAACTTGACAAGATAACCTCCCTAAACTTCCATTTTCTCCCTCTCAAAGGGGTTGTGGGAAGAGGAAATGAGACACACCAGTGGCCGCATGCAGGACACCCAGCGTTCAGCCATCTCTGTTTGGCCCCAGGATCTCTCCTTGCCTCTTGTCTCCTGTAGTCAGCACCTTGTAATTCTTCTGATATATGCTGCGAGCCAGTCTTAAATACAGACAGTGAGATGTGATTACTGCCCACGAGCAGTCTTGGTTTTCCTACTGGGCCCGGCACAGGTTTTCTAGATTTGTTTAAATGACTGATGACCAATCTTCTTTTCTCCACAAGTGACCTTGATCTGGCTACTGTTTCAAGTATCTGAATGCCAAAGACGACTTCTCTCCAGAAACATACACTACAAACTTACCAATACCCATGATGGAGGGATCACATCCAGACACGAAATAGCCCACAATTCTTGCCAGTGGTGTGAAGTTATGTTTTTTAACAGCATCTTCACTAGCTATGATAACAGCTCCAGCACCATCGGATACCCCCTTGGAAACAAAAACAGGAACACTGACTAGAGGGCAAAAGGACCCAGTTAATCAAGGTTTGAACTAATGCGGTAGTGTTAAGATTGTGGTACTATGTAAGAAACAGCATCACAATCTGGGCTACGATGAGGGCTCGCAGTGCTCCAGGAACTGTTTTAGGCACAGAATCCAACCTCACCAAGGGAAAACAGGAAACAATGTCCAGGAAAATATTATGTCCAGATATGGGGAGATGTAAGAAATCTGTTGAGTTGTATACATCAGAAAACCAACAAACCAACCAACAAACCCAGGAAAACTGGAATAATAACCAAGCAGATTTCCTTCTACAGTCCTTGTAATATTTTAAAAAGACTAAGAAACTGGAAGAGTATTATATGCGATTAAAGTATTTTGTTTGGAACTATGAAACCCCCAATTAACCGAATATGAACGCTGCCAGTTGAAGGTAAACAGCTAAAGACTAGCACGAGAAGTCTCCAAAAGACCCCACAGGACTACTTTGCACTGAACACGGCAGCAAGAGTCCAAGGTGAGCTGTGGCGTCACCTACCGAGGCATTGCCCGCGGTCACGGTTCCCTCCTTCTTGAATACTGGGGGGAGTTTAGTTAACTGCTCCAGGGTCGTCTGGGGCCGGGCGTGCTCGTCTACCTGCATTGTCTGTTTCCCCTTCTTCGTTTTCACCTCAATGGGTGCCATCTCATTATTAAAGTAGCCAGCATCGTTAGCTGAAAGAGGAGAAAGACCATCGTGAGAATGGGAGAAAAAGAAGATATAAGAAACGAAATCAAACACATCCTTCAGTTTTGGCTCTACCCTTTCCTCGCAGCCTACTTTAACATAAGCCTCTGTTACAGGCACAACTTATGCTGCCTCTCGAAGGACTTAATACACTGCCATCAATCTATGCAAATGCATTTTGCCTTCTTTTAAAATTGTAATTTTGATCTTTTTTACTGTAATTTTTTTTTTTACAAGGTATCACTAGACTATTAGCAGTCCTTGTCTGTTAGCTACAGATAGAATAGCACCAAGTAAACTCAATGTCTCATTTAAACTGCTCTCGGTGAGGTAAGAAGTAAACTGAAAAGTCACCAGGACGTACAACAATAACATATTGTACACTTAAAAAAATTTGTTAAGGGGGTAGAGTTTATTTTAAGTGTCTTTACCACAGTAAGAGAAAAGAAGTTGTCTCCAAAAGAAGTTACCGATCTAGGTTACCAAGTAACCTATGACTGAAATTTAATGACAAGCAACCCGAAGAAATTCTACGAGCGATTACCGACACAGTTGTGAGTGAAACAGCTGACCTGCTTCCACCTCCACTGACTACAATGGACGGCAGTAATCTACAGCTTCCAGAAACAGAATACGCCAGGAGTGAGACCACCTTCCTTCTGATAGCTCTTTACAAGGGCAGGCTACACACTTCCCTTATTTGGTTTTCACAACTCTTAGGGAAAAAGGGGAGGCAAATCTTCTTTATCTCAATTGTACAGATGCCCAGTGAAAAAATGACTTGGTAGAGGTTGGTTAACTTGTATGAGGCCAAGGTAGAAACAGAGCTGATGACTCCTGGCCTCTGGACCAGCATGCTCCCACTTTAATATGTAAGAAAAACACAGAGAATGAGCTGGCTGGCATCGGCTCCATCCCACTTCTCCCTCCGAGTACTTAACGCCCCTGAAGAAGAGTTGCTGCTCATTTCTAATAGTTTAATTTAAAAAATCTTTTTCAAGAGACTAACAAATGTCTTCAACTCACCATACTGTCATGTTGCCCACTTTGGACCAGTCTGACAGTAGTGAGAAGTGTTACACCAAGGGCAGCAGAACTCTGGCCGCATAGAGTTCTGAGTCTTCGAGTCAGAGTGCAACGATTCTCAATTAGGAATGGGAGGAGGAAGGCGCACAATGGGTCCTTTCCAAATATACCATCCCTTCCTCATAAACAGGGTATGCCTCACAGAGGAGAACACCCTCTCTGGGCCAGCAGCTTCCGGGAGCCATCGTCTCTCACAGAGTATCAAAGCCCTCGCAGCAGAGTGCTCTACATGTTCTACTGACATCAGAACCACTGAGGACAAAATTCAAGTTGGCCAGATAAGGTCAATTAGCAATGCCACTTTTTAGGTAGCATTTCTATATTTCAAAAGAGAAACTCCTGGTTAATTTTGCAATCATTCACAGAATATCTACTCATCTAAACATAAAGGAATGATGAAAAAAAGTGATTTTCAAAAGGTACAATTTTAAATAAATATTATTATATGACCATTATAATCCAAAAATGACGAAAATCTTCTCTATTTTTTTAAACCCAGGTATAACTGACATACTACGTTATATTAGTTTCAGGTATACAACCTAACCATTCGGTATTTGTGTATGCAGGACTGCACAATGATCATTGCTCTAAATCTAGTTAACATCTGTCCCCATACATAGCTGCACCAATTTTTTTTCTTGCGACGAGAACCTTGAAGACCTACTCTACTAGCAACTTCACGCATGCGCTCTACACTGTTATTAACTATGGTCACCATGCTCTACGTTACATCCCCGGGACTTACTTTATTTTATAACCTTTGACTCCCTCTGCCCATTTCACCCACCCACCCAAGTTTTCTTCTGTTGACACTTCTAACATGCATCTCACTGACCAGCTTTCCACCTCTGCTGGGACTGCAGGGCGTACTTGTCGCAGTCTTCTCTGCTTATGTTATGTTCTGCAGCAAGATTCTCTGCGGTGATCCCCATGGGGAGCCGGATGTGCTCATCTGTTAATCCTGACCACAAAGCATCTTCCAGCTATTGAAAGACACGAATAGTAAGGTGATTTGTTAAAGTGTATCTTTTGAAAGTAATATGCTGTAATATCTTTACATTTAATTAATTGTCCCAATAAATGAAAGTAAAATTACGTTTTCTGTTTATTATTATTACTATTATTATTATTATTATTATTCATCTTTGGTTCTGGGACATTTTAAAAAACACGCAATGCCATAATCAAATGCACGCATCCTCACTGTTCAGGGAGGGGACACAGGAGATTATCCTACAGTCAAAAATGAAACCGCGGGGGCACCTGGATGGCTCAGTTGCTAAGCGTAGGCTTTGGCTCAGGTCATGATCCTGGAGTCGTGGGATCGAGCCCCATGTCAGGCTCCCTGTTCAGCAGGGAGTCTGCCTCTCCCTCTCTCACCCTCCCTGTATACTCTCTCACAAATAAATAAATAAATAAAATCTTTAAAAAAAAAAAAAGAAAGAAAGAAAGAAAGAAACCCTCAAGGCTACATTTTTAAGAAACCTAACACGGGGTCCTCATGCAATGTTTCCCTGTAGCCACCTGTGACCCACAATTCTGCGCTCTGCAGGAGTGTGCCTGAGCTCCTTCAGTGACAGGAACAGCTGGTTCTGTCAGCTACTGGGAGGTGGAAAACCACACACAGATTCCTTGAGGAACAGAAAAGTTACTTATTATCCAGTGGGTCAGTCTCTGATAAGGGTGCCCCCTTGTGTCTTCTCCACTAGCCCTCATCATCTTTGAGTCACTGACCTGTCTTTCCAAAGGTTTTCTTAATACTTGGTGTCTAAAATACTATTTCATATTTTCTAGGTCTTATTCTTTCCAACTTTCAAAAAGGCCAGGGGATGAAGTAGATGAAGTGTGAACCAATCATTGCTGTTGGAAAATGCTAACAACAGAGAATGTCATTAGCCCTTTCTCATGGGCGGGACAGCACACTAGTGTCCTCTGTCAGTACTGTCATTCCCGTGCCAGAGCTCTCAAAGATGTGCAGATCAGTTTCTGTCTGACTGACTCAGGACAATATCATCTCTATTCAAAGAGAATCTTTAAAAAACAAAATTTAAAGAGCAAAATAAAAAAAAAAAAATCAATAAAACAAAGAGAAGGTTTTCTGTGAAGAAGATACCTATTCAATGGACACTGCTCCAGGAAGAAAACGTCCATAAATCATGGTAAAGATTTAATTACTGGGTTTACCATTTATTCAGTAGAGAAATTAATTACTTCAACCTCTGCCTATCTTTTTGATCTGCCTCCTCCTTTCCTCTGCCTCCCCAGTGTATTAATTCCATGATCAGAGGCGTGGTGAGATAAAGTCTATGTGGATTTTTTAAATGCGGGTTAAAACCAGACTGGGGTTTTGAAATAGTTTACAAATTTCAAGTCATTTTTGTATTTTGTCAATCCCCTATTAACGAAACTGGTTTCAAAATCTGTTTTCTCTCTCCCAAAATGGTGTGATTAAAATTATCAGCATAGGGGCGCCTGGGTGGCTCAGGTCATAATCCCAGGGTCCTGGCATCGAGTCCTGCACCGGACTCCAGGTTTAGCGGGAGGCCTGCTTCTCCCCTCCCACTCCCTGCTTGTGTTCCCTCCCTCACGATCTCTCTGTCAAATAAATAAATAAAATTTTAAAAATATATATTAGCATAAATGCATGACAAATAATTTTTAAACATTTGAATGGTTCCAACCTTGAGGTCTGATCCAAACTTGGTTCCAAAGCGCACGTTTCTGACACAGTAGGGAGACTGGCTCATGCTTTCAGATCCTCCACATAAGACAACTTCGGCCTCTTTAACACAAATTTCCTATTGGAAAACGAAGGTGCAGCAATAACAAAAAAACTTTTATTGTGACAGAGGTTTGTATTAAGCAGTAAACTAACAGTAAATGTAATGATTTACAGTCTCAAAAGGAAATACTTGTCAAGTCATGCTAACGCACATGCCACAGCACCCATCCCTAAGACATGAGGGGAGAAAAACCTAACAGACTTCAATTGTGTGTGTGCAAGTGACAAATTCTACCTATGTTTTGGCAAGGAATGATAATTCTTACCCTTGAAATAAATCTTGAAAATCAGCAGAGATATTAATGCCTGGCATAATATATGGATTATCAGCTGAGGATAAAGAATAAATCCTTTAAAAAGGCAGAAGAAGAATTTATCCCATTAATGTAGGAGTCTGATGCAAGTAACAGACCACACGCAAGAACTGAGTTAACTGAGGAGAATCAGAAAAGGAAACCCATTTCTTCCTTCTAACACCTCCCACTATTTGCATTTCTCAGAAAAGCAGCAAGGAACAAGCCTCCAAAGCCAGTGTTCACAGTGACTGCTAAGAGAATCAGGACCACTACTTCAGTTACATTGTTACAGAAATAAATTAACATGAAAATTATTCATCACAATATGTCCATGTCCTTCATTCTGTAAAAAAAATGAAGATCTGGACAAATAAAATTGGATTTCACTATATCCCTTTACCCTGTGCTCACGGATCAAATGTATTTGTCCAAGTACCCATCCCTTAAAAAGGAATGCATTTCTTACCATCCCCTAAACCCTCCAACTTTTTTCCTAGTCTTATAGTCTTTATTCCGTGTTTCACAGGCCTGCGTTCAAGTTCTGTCTCTGTAACTTAGTCACCTTACTGATCAGTTTCCTTGTCTGTTAAATGGGAATAGTGATAGTTCCCGTCTTACCAGATGGTTGTGAAGACTAAGTGAGATACTGAATGTAAATCTAGCAAGGTCAGGCACACAGGAAGCACTTGATAAAAGTGAGAGTCATGATTACCTTTAAAAAAAAACTGTGATAAAATATATCTAACTTCAAATTTACCATTGTAACCAATTTTAAGTGTACAGTTCAATAGGTGCATTCACAGTGTTGTCTGACCAACCACCACCACTCATCTCCAGACGTCTTTTCGGTTCTGCAGGCTGAACTCGGTACCATTAAACATGAACTCCTCCTTTTCTCTCCCCCCCAGCCCCAGCAACCACCATCCTCCTTTCTGTCTCTATGAATCTGACTACTCATATGAGGGAGATCATACAGTATTTGTCCTTTTGTGGTTCATTTATTCCACTTAGCATGTCTTCAAAGATCCGTGAGCAGCTTTTAAGGGACTGTTGATTCTTGTATTCCTGTGTACTTTTCCAAGAAAAATCAAATACTGACCTTTCCTAACGAAGCACTATAAAACAAAAGCCTACGGTGTTCTACTGAAGTGGGGCATTTTCTCCAACAGCTTTTAGCGTATTTTCAGAGAAGTAATAAAACGTTCCCATACCTGACATCCACTCACGATGGACTGGAAACCAGAGCCACAGAGTCTGTTAACAGTGAGAGCTGGGACCTCTTTTGGGACTCCCACCCGCAAACCAACGTGCCGGGCCAAATATGCAGCATCCGAAGAACTCTGGAATAGAGGGAGAAGACAAAGAACGTCCTCTATAAATCTCGGCAAAAAGGAGGACAAAATACACGGAATTGTTCGCAATCTATCAAAAATAGTAAACTACATGGCTCTAAGGTAGGACACAATGTATACAGGTATAGCACGTATTTTATGGAATATATGTGTTTATTACTTGAATAAAAACTACAATTTGGTCTGCTTGTTTTTAAACACACAAAGTCCGAGTTTTATATTACTATAGTTAAAATAATTCTTGTATTAATAGAAGATAGAAATTTGTAACAATTAGAACGGTTTAAAAATAAAATGGGCTATCTTAAAATAATATGTTCCTTAAAAGAGAAAGTATCCGGGGCGCCTGGGTGGCTCAGTGGGTTAAAGCCTCTGCCTTCAGCTCAGGTCACGATCTCAGGGTCCTGGGATCCAGCCCCGTGTCAGGCTCTCTGCTCAGCATGGAGCCTGCTTCCTCGGCTCTCTCTGCCTGCCTCTCTGCCTACTTGTGATCTCTGTCTGTCAAATAAATAAATACAATCTTTAAAAAAAAAAAAGAGAGAGAGAGAGAGAAAGTATCTGAAGCTGTAATTTTCAACTTTTGTTGCATACCGGAAAACCAGGACAGCTTGACATACGAATGCTGAGTGTAACCAAACCAATGAAACCGGAAAAGCACAGGCAAGGCAATGCTATCAGTAGACACTTTTAAAAGCACCCAGGGAGGGGCGCCTGGGTGGCTCAGTGGGTTAAGCCTCTACCTTCGGCTCCCGTCATGATTTCAGGGTCTTGGGATCCAACCCCGCCTCGGGCTCTCTGCTCAGCAGGGAGCCTGCTTCCCCCTCCCTCTCTGCCTGCCTCTCTGCCTACTTGGGATCTCTCTCTGTGTCAAATAAATAAAATCTTAAAAAAAAAAAAAAGCACCCAGGGGATAATGTGAAACTGAGGCTGAGACCTGTTGACCTAGGGAGGGGAGAGTTAAACAAGGACCCCAGGTTCCAAAGCAACAGTGCTGGCCCGGCTCTGGGGTCCAAGAAGAACAGTGACAGCAGGTGGTCTGCTACAGACTTACCAACTGGTTACAATCTGCACTTTAGTGTTTTTATAGGCTTCCTACCCTATAACCCCAACCTGTGTATTTGTTCTGTGGTTTTGGTCTCCTGTTTATTTATTTGTTCTTTTTTAAGATTTTATTTATTTTGAGAGAGCGCACAGAGGGAGATGGAAGACTCACGGCTCGAGGAGAGCCCAATACAGGGCTCCATTCAGGACCCTGGGATCATGACCTGAGCTAAAGGCAGACGCTTAACCCACTGGGCCACCCAGGTGCCCTTGGTCTCCTGTTTAATGGCACACAAGTAATACTACCAGGTAACCAGAACCAGGTGTCAATGTGTTGAGACTTTTTACTGTGTTTAGCATGATAGGAAAAACTGTGGAAAAAAAAAAAAAAAAAAAACACATCCAAATGATACAGTGGCATAAAATGCAGAGCTGGAAGTGGACTCCCAAGGAGTCAGACTTGGCGTGGGAGTGTGAGTGTGTAACGAGCTTCTCACGACTGCACGGATGCAGTGCTCTCAGCCTTCGGGAAAAACCTGGTGGAGTGGGTTCAGCCTACTGTGGCAGATCGTAAAGGACAGAGTAGTAAATTGATACCATACACAGCAGAGCTAGCTCTGTCTGTATAAACAGAGAAATGGGCTTAGCCACAGAGGTTTAAACCATCTGGTTGGCCCATGCAGTAACACAAACCAGGGCTTGGATGCACAGCTGTATCTCATGTTTTATGGTCTCCCAGCCTTTCCATCCTAGGCACTTTTGGACAAATCTTTGTCCTCGTTCAAGGCTTTGTTTTGGGTTTTGTGGGTATTTGCCACCTTGCATCCCTCAGCTTTGCAGGTAGACAGATGTGATTCAAAACTTGTGTTCTACGGTGTTCCTTGTTGAGGAGTAATCGCTTACTTGTGGAGGAATAAGTCATGCTTCCCCACTAAAGGGGGCGTGGGGGTGGTAATGCACAAGGCAAGCCATGCCATAAGCTACTAGAAGAACTTCTTGATGGGAAATTTTAGCTTTGCGTTTTGTTGCTTTACTTCCTAAAATAACTTCGACATGTTCCTCACTGGTCCATCTGATGTGGGAAACAAAGGCAGAAGAAAAAAATATTAAATTTCCTTACTACTTACAGCCCACTGACAAGTCCTTGAAACAGAGCGACAGTCCTCTAGGAACTCAGCTGCCTCGATGTTAATAGTTTCCGAATGGCAAAAGGCAATCTTAGCCCCATGCCCAGGATCCTTTTAAGCCTACTTCAACATATAAAAATTCCTTTTGCCAGGGTTTTCTGTTTTGGGAGTCACTTCCCTTATAATACTCTAATGTCCAGACTGGCAAAATAAGTGTTTTATAAAATCAAGCAGTAGTCTGAGGTTATACAAAGATTATTATTAGGTCAGGAGTCAGATCTGGATTGGAATCTAGACTCTGTCATTCACTAGCAGTGTGAACTTTGGTTTACCTAACTCTCAAGTTCCTCCTAAGCGAAGTTATCTGCAAATGGATTCCTAAGTGCCTTCTTTGTAAATAAGAGTAGAGTAGTTACGATTGAGTTGTTAAATTCTAGACCAACTGACTGAATAAAGATAGTTTACGGAGATCTTGCTGACGGCATACATACTTACTTGTATGGATATTTTGAATGTGGTCCTACCTGATGCTTAGAAACCAGATATCTTCTACTTTGGCCACTGTATTCTAGAAAGTAACTGATAATTTTTCCTTTTTTTTTTTTTTTTTAATTTTTGGTTACATATTCTCTAAGTGCTCCCATGAAATGACTCTACATCCCTTTTAACACCAAAATTTGTGGGAAGAGCTTAGTACAGGTGGAAGAATATTGAACCAGAAGTCAGGAGCATTCCAGCCCAGGACTGTTACAGATCACCCCTCCGCAACTCTGCACCTTCCCTGGAGGTTTCCACATGTGTTAAGAGAGGCCTGGAGTTCTATAAAATCTCTAGGGTTTCTTCTGGCTTTTTAATATTCCCTAAATCTTACTTGGAACTTAACCTTTTTTAAAAAGTTTCTATTCCTGTTTTATTTTTCAACTGAGGTATAACTGACATAAAACATATCAGTTTCAAGTGTACCATGTAATGACTCAGTATTTGTATAGACTGCAAATTATCACAATTAAGTCTAGTTAACATCTGTCATCATATATATGATGAGAGAGCAGAAGTCTAGCTGAAGACAAGACATAAGCTGACACCAGGCAACCTCCCCCTACCCCCCACTTTGGGGTGGGACATGGGTGACATTCTTCCAGGAATCTCCCAATTATGTTAACATTAATGCCTTGCCAGAGGGAAAAACCACCTTACCTTGACAACGGCAAGGCCTCAGGTATCCTCTATCTTATAGGTGGGTCTTCTTTAACATGAAAACCCTTTTGAAACTTCCCTTTTCCTTACTTTCCCCAACTTCCCTTATATAATAACGGTTCCTCAAGACTCTGCCCACAGGTCCTGTCCCAGAGCTTTAATAAAACCACCATTTTGCACTGAAGACGTCAAGACTTCTTTCTTGATTGCAGACTCTGGACCTCACCCCACCATAGCTCACCTATATTCCAAAACCACATTATATAGTTAAACAAAAAAATTTTTTTGAGGACTGATGTGAGGCTGCGAGCGGATGGTCAGAATTCTTGAGACACTTCTGGTGCAAAAAGGTACTTTTATTTAAGCACAGGGACAGGACCCATAGGCAGGAAGAGCTGCACTGGGGTTGTGAGTGACTGATTACATACCTTGTAGTTAGTGGGGGTTTAGGGATAGCGTAAGTCCCTATGGAATTTGGAAGCAGAGCTTATCCAGGACCTTGAGGGGCTGGCTGCTGCTTAGATAAGGTTCTTTACTTCTGTCTAGTAAAACATGAGTCTTGAGACACTCCAGGTGTATGAAAGTGGCGACACGTCGGAAAGATGACTGCTATCTTATCGGCGGAAAGATCAGCGGCAAGTAACAGGAAGAAGAACAGAGCCGCAGTGGTAAAATACCAACGAGTCCTTGAGGGGGCGGGAGGGGTGTTATAATCCCCACCTCAGGAATTCTGTCTGGAGACTACAGCAGCAGCAAAATGCAGCCTTTGTTCCTGTTTCTCCCATCAAGGACTTTTAACACTTATTAGCATTTTTCAAATGCCCGGTATAGTATTATTAACTATAGTCATCACGCTGTTTCATTACAGCCCCAAGACTGACTGACTTAGAACTGGAAGTTTATACCTTTTTGACCTCCGTAACTCACGTAATTCCTTTCATACATGAGAACCGCTAAGGACAGAATACTTTAGTACCTTTAAAACCTCTCAAAACATCAGTCGATTCCCATTATTCGTAGATTCTATACTCGCGAATTCACGTACGTGTTAAAAATTTATTTGTAGGGGCGCCTGGGCGGCTCAGTGGGTTAAAGCCTCTGCCTTCAGCTCAGGTCATGATCCCGGGGTCCTGGGATCGAGCCCCGCGTTGGGCTCTCTGCTCTGTGGGGAGGCTGCTTCCTCCTCTCTCTCTGCCTGCCTCTCTGCCTACTTGTGATCTCTGTCAAATGAATAAATAAAATCTTTAAAAAAAAAATTTATTTGTAACCCCAAAAGTAATACCTCCAGCACTTCTGTGGTTATTTCCAGATTATGGGCAGGGTGGAGGAACATTGAGAAAACTTAGTCGCCTAAAATAATACACACTTTCCGGGCTGAAGATGAACAAAGGGACACTCAGCCTTCTTGTTTTAGCTCTCATGCTATAAACAAGTGTCCTTTCTGGGCGCCTGAGTGCCTCAGTCCGTTGAGCGTCTGCCTTCCATTCAGATCATGATCCCAGGGTCCTGGGACTGAGCCTCCTGTGTAGGGTCCCTGCTCAGCAGGAGTCTGCTTCTCCGTCAGCCCCTCCTTCTTCCCTTCTGCTCTTACACTCTCTCTCTGAAGTAAATAATCTTTAAAACAAACAAAAACAAATCTCCTTTCTGTGGTCTATTTATTGCAACGTTTTTTGCATTTTTGTGCTTTTTGTTGGAGATTTTGCTGTTCAAAATCACCACAGGCATAGTGCCATCGAAGTGCAGTGATGCACAGAGCACTGTGGAAGCGCGCTGGGGACCTCACCTGGACCAAAGGAAACCGGGTGGTCCAAGAGGTAACTGCTGCCATCAGGGACATCTTACACCAACACTGCGACAAGTACGAAAGTACCAGTGCCACTCTGTGTGAGAACGTTGTCTCGCTGGATGAACCAGATCCGTGAGCAGCTGTGATTTGGATCGGGACAGAGATGAGTTACTGGAGAGCTTCCTGGAGGGTTTTCCTGATGAGCCCAGGTGCTGCTCACTCTGCTTACTGCCACAGCGAAGCTGCTTCTCAAGCAACCACCAGAAACACAGGAGCTGCTACAGCAGGTCTTGAGTTTGACAACACGGGATTCTGATAAACCTGACCTTCGAGACCAGGGCTATATTTACCAGCGTCTTCTCTCAACAGACCCTGTCACAGGCAAAGAAGTCGTCTTGTCTGAGAAGCCACTGATGTCTGAGACAGATCTTACTGTGCCAGCTCTGCTGGACGAGCTCATCTGCCACACCGATCTTTGACCTTGGTGTACCATAAGCCTCCCAATGCTTTTGTAGAAGGAAGTCATGGAATCCGTCCCAAACATGTGCCAATATATCATGGGAGCACTGATGTAGATGACAGCCTTTGGCACCACCACTGCCACGATCTTGGAACAGCCTCAGGTTATCCCCTCTCAAGGTGACCTTCTAGACCTTCTAAACCTTGACCTCAGTCTTCCAGTCAATGTGTTTCAGGTGTCCTCCACACAGATGGGAGCAGCAGATCTCCCTGGAGGAGGACTAGATGGTCCGGTGAGACGGTCTTTCATCCCATCCTCAGGGCCTGTAACCTTCGCTCCTCTACCTACTCCCACTGTGGTCAGCAGTGATCTGAATGACGTGTCAGCACTCTCCATGGGACAGGCATGGGACCTGCTGGATGGCTGGTTCCTAAGGCTGTCTGGCTGCCTGCAATAAAAAATAATGGTCTGGAGATTTCCAGGACATTTACTCACCACCAAGGGCACACCTACATGGCAATGAACTTCACCAACAATGCTGTGCAGCACATGACAGACTTTGCAATCCAGTTAAACAAGAGGAGCTTTGGGGTCATCCCCAGCACTCCTCTGGCCGACCACACACCACAGATGCCAAAGCAGCGTGCGGATGTCTCCCTGCCTCTGAACACCTTAGGTCCTGTCACAAAGATGGAACCTCTGAGTAACTGCAGGTGGCTGTGAAAACCAATGTTTGTCTTCTCCTTCAGCTTCTCACCCCACTCAGGGTGCTCTTTGTAGAAGATTTCAAAATGGCGCACCAGGTCTTCCTTGCAAGTGGAAGGCCATTCCCAATGAAAAAGAACTTCAGTTTCAGATTAAGGAATGTCCATTAAATACTGACAGTTTCCAGCAAACTGCAAAACAGCAATGTTTATTGCCTTGCCAAGAGGAATGTGGAAGGGAAGGACATGCTGTACCAATCCTTGAAGCTCAATAATGGCATTTGGAGTTTGGCTGAGCTATGTATCCAGCCAGGAAACCCACACGGCGTGCTGTTGCGGAAGCGCAGAGCTCCTGAGGTCTCCCAGGACGTCTGTGAGGTCTATGGCAGCATTTCTGAAAAGCTAACAGACAGGTCCCATGCCCTTTGGCCATCCTGTGACTGGTACAAGCCAAGAACTCTTAACTGGAAGAAATCGTTTTGCCATGTAGACTCTGAACCCAAACACGCTGATGCCACACCCCAAGGTAGTGACTAGTCTAAGCTGTGCTGCCATCAGGGCACAACCTGTTGCATAGTTTTAGCTTCTCATGAACATCTGTAAGCACTGCTTCAATCACTTCCCACCTCTTGTCACATACTGCTGCTACCTGTCCTTATTTGTGAGCTTCTCCATAGTGTGTCGACGGCTGGCATTTTTGAGCGGTTTGGTATTTTGTAACTGAGAGCTCATTTGGAAAGCAGAAAAGGACAAAAAACATTAAAGGAAAAGTGTCAGGAAAAAATGAACGAAGCCGTTCAGACTCCACTGCAAACAAAACTGGTTGTTGCTAGAAGCAAAATCTCTATGAGTCACGGCTCCGGAGCAGAGGTGGGGCGTGGAAATAACTGCACACCTGTTCTGGAGCCTTATCCCTGCCCCAAGAGCTGAGCACGAGGTGGAGGTGGTGGCAGCAGCCTCCAGTCTTCTCGGCCTGCCTCTCCTAGTATGGAACAACCACTTTCTGAGCCAGCAGAACAGTGACAAGGTACTTGCCATGGCAATGTACTCTGCGTGGAGCTTCTGTTAAGCCAAGGGCCGGGAGGAAGAAGGGAGCCCCATCTCTTTGGCAATACTTCAAAGGAATATACAGCTTTCATTATCTATGAAATGATGTGATCTATTTTGTAGACCTCAACATAGCAATATAGAAGGTAAAGGAGTTTCTTATTTCCGTAACAAATACTGACCAAGGTCCTGCTGGTTAAGAAATTATAGGGGATGTCTTACACTGACCAGGTTTTCTACCCTCCTTAGTTGGTAAAAAGAGAGAGCCAACTAACTTTAGATAAGTCAAGGAAATGAATCTGATAGAGAAGCAATTAAATGTAACCCCAATGGGATAGATATAGAGCTTCTGGATTATATGTGGCTTTGATGCATGCCATCACTTCTAGAGTCAAGGATTACTTAAATCATAAATACCTTTAATTATTAACTAGTTCACTATTAAGACATATTAAGTTATCTTCTTAATAACACGAAGCAACAAGAATGAATACCAACCTTCCTTCTGCCCTACTGACCTGGATGACATTGCCTACAATGACACTGTCAATGGTCTCAGGTGAGACCTTGCCTGCAGACAAAGCAGCCTTGGCAGCAAATTCAGTCAGGTCGGTAGCCGTGAAGTCCTTCAGAAGACCTCCGTACGCTCCGAAAGGGGTTCGCTTAGCGGCAACGATGAACACACCTGTAAGCAGAGACAGATTCCTCAGTGTCCCGAACATGCTTTAAATAATCTCACTATGAAACCTAGTACTAGGTACTGTTTTCAATTAGAACTTAGACAATTTTTGTGCCAGAACAGTACATGGAACAAGTCCCACTCACAGAAGCAGTCTTTTAAGGAAGGGGGATCAGCTGGAGCACTACCTACATGCTGGCCCCCAGAACTGCACGTTGCAATGTAAATCCATCCTGGTAGACAACGTTCTTGTCCTCAGGTGAGCTACAAAGCTAGAAACATTTGTTTAAAACTAAAATGCTGGGGTGTCTGGGTACCCCAGTAGGTTAAGCATCTGTCTCTGCCTTTGACGCAGGTCATAATCTCGGGGATTCCTGGGATCCAGCCCCACACTGGGCTCCGTGCTCAGCGGGAGCCTGCTTCTCCCTCTCCAGTTCCTGCTCCCCCTTCCCCCAGCTTATAAGCTCTCTCCCTCTCTCTGTCAAATAAATAAAATATTTTTTAAAAATAAAAATAAAAATAAATAAATAAATAAAACAAACGCTGGGACAGCTGGGTGGCCCAATTGGTTATGTGTCTGCCTTTGGCTCAGGTCATGATCCCAGGGTCTGGGGATGACATTAAGCTCCCTGTTCAGTGGGGAGTTGCTTCTCCCTCTGCCTGCCGCTCCCTCTGCTTGTGCTCTCTCGCTCCAACAAATAAAATCTTAAAAAAAAAAAACAAAAAAAACACAGGGGCTCAATGGGTTAAGCTTACTTTGCCTTCAGCTCAGGTTATGGTCTCAGGGTCCTGGGATCCAGCCCTACATTGGGCTCTCTGCTCAGCAGGGAGCCTGCTTCCCCCTCTCTGCCTGCCTTTCTGCCTACTTGTGATCTCTCTCTCTGTGTCAAGTAAGTAAAATAAAAAATCTTTAAAAGATAAAAAATAAAATAAAATGAAAACAAAAACAAAATGCTTCTTCGATGTGCTGAAGTATATTTCCTAGTCACAGACTCAAAGAATCTCCAAAGTAAAAGTTCTCTTGAGGTTTGAGGCCAACCACTCACCCCACAGAAAATTCCTGACACAAGAGACAAAAATTCCTCTGCTAGAAAATTTACAGTAAGGCATACTCCACTGTGTGAAGCAGTTGTGCTTATGAATAGACAACCTAAAGTATGATTTTTAACTCCTACATAGCTAAGCCAGCTTACCCATCTTCCATCTACCAGCTTACCCAAATGTATCCCAAGTCAGAAAAATTGTTTCTACAGGAAAAAAAAAAAAAAAAGGAAAGAAAAATTGTTTCTAGAATTGATAATGTTTTGAATGTGAACTACATATGCCTTTAACTTTGGAGCCATAGGATGACTAAAATACAAATTTCAAATAATATGAACCATTCGTTACCTTTTACAAAGTGGACTGTCTTTTACACAGATAGCCGCTCTGGATCTAAAGTCAGCTAACCTGTAACATCTCCCATCTCTGAAGTAAATAAAAGGCATTCTTACAAAACTTATTTGACATCATTTCTAGTTGCTTTCTTCTGAAGACATTCTAGTTTGCCAACATCCTGTTAAAACATGTCTCTTAGAATACAACAAGATTTCCTGATCCAACCACAAAGAATATAAGGGAAATTATCTATACATATAGTAATGTAAATTAAGAGTAAAAAATTATGGTATCACTATTAGTCCAACAGATGTCCCTATGCAAATAAATAAAAACTGCTCCTAACTGAGGCACTCTACTGCCACCTCCCCCGAAAAAGGCTACAGAAGTCTCCGACGATGGGAGTGATACTCACTAGAGCTGTATGAGGCAAAACTTGCACATCCGGAAGCAGCACCCAATATAGCCCGTTTCATCCCACTAACATTTATTAGGCACAACTAAGCACTAGACATTTTATCACTTTTCATTATCTAATCTTCCTAACAATCCCGCAGGTCAAAAGTATGGTGGTGCGTACAGGAGGCACTTAGTATGGGGCAGACCTCCTGCCTGGTGCTTTGCATAGATAGGCTTCTCCCAAAACAATCTGAAATCACATTTCCGTGTCCTGCCAAGAAATTATGGGACTTTTAACAATGGGTTTGTGTCAAGATATTAACCTGTAATTGAGACCATACAAATATTATACCACGCTTGGTATTTAAGTACAATTCTCCTGATTATGTTAGTAGAGGCTATCTCTTTTGTGGAACAAACTCAACCTATCCTAAAAAAACCCAAAAAACAAAAACAAAAAAACCTCCCAGAACCAAACCAAAAGAACTTCAGCTTCTCCTTTCATTCCTACTTTGAGAAACTCACAGTCTAAAAGAATTTTAGGAGGGGCACCTGGATGGCTCAGTCAGTTAGGTTAGGCATCAGGTGGTTAAGCATCTGACTCTTGATTTTGGCTCAGGTCAGAATCTCAGGGTCCTGACATGAAGCCCTGCTATGGGGCCACTCAGAGTTTGGTTGAGATTCTCTCTCTCTCCCCCTCTGTTCCTCTCCCTGCTCATCACTCTAATTTTTAAAAATCTTAAACCCCCAAACACTAAAAGATAAAAGAATGTTACTCCTAACATATGCAATTATAATTTAGAAGAGAACCAATTAATTTTTACAGATACAATATTCAGATATTTACAAGCCCATAAATATTACTTCAGTGCATTACAGATCTTTTGTTCTGATAGATGGGTTACTCTGTGGCACTATACCTTCCTCAATTTCTGCCAATGTCCTCTAAACCTCCTTGCCAGGGGCGCCTGGGTGGCTGAGTTGTTAAGAACCTGCCTTTGGCTTAGGTCACGATCCCGGAGTCCTGGGATCGAGCTCCATATTGGGCTCCCTGCTCAGTGGGGAGCCTGCTTCTCCCTCTCCAGCTCCCCCATGCTTGTGTTATCGCTCTCTCTGTCATAAATAAATAAAATCTAAAAAAATAAAAAATAAATAAACCTCCTGGCTTTAAAATTTTCCTATTTTTATACTGGTATTTTATTTTGGTTTTCTTTCCCCTTCCCATGTCTTCTTCCTAATTTCATTACAGCCTGATTGTGGTCATGGCTCCTATCTGACCACCTCATAACAATGAGGGTATAGAAAAATGACTACCCGTCAGCCTTGGAAAATGAACAAAACTAGGCAGGTATGGAGGAGATGTGGAAGAAGGGAACAGTACAGGGTGAGTGTTCAATTTATTTATAGCCTCTGACTTTAAAGCAAACGGTCCACATTCTGTGAATGGCTAGAACTCAGAAACTCAGTCTTACTGGCTTGAAGACTCAGAGAACTGAGTTCATGGCAACCACAGCCACTGGTAAATAAGAATGAAAGTGGGAAAGGAAAGGACCACAGGCAAGAGCCCAAATCATACACATGAACTCTGCCTAAGTATCTGGCTGGCCCTTTAACCATGACCTACAAACACCTTAGCTAAGGCTAACAGAACTGAACTTAGATTTGAACTGTTGCCCGCTCCCGGGGAAACAGTTTACACCGATTCCAAGTTCAGCTGAATTAACTGCCTGCAAATTAAACAGCCAACCAACCAATCAATAAATTAACAAGCTTTGGAAGAACATAACAGAATCGGGCGTACTACAATGTTTCATATGCAACGTTCATGCTACAGTCCAAAATTAATGCACATATGAAGAGCCAAGAAAATATGATTTATTTTATATTTCTTAATGATTCATTCTTAAAAGACAATCAACAGAGACTAACCCCAAGATGACCCAAATGTTAGAATTAGCAGACAAGGATTTTCTAACTATGCTCAAGGATATAAAGGAAAGTAAGCTTATAACAAAGGATAGGCCATCTCAGTAAAGAAACAGAAACTGTTAAAAAAAAGAAATGGAAATTCTAAAACTGAAAGGTATCTGAAATAAAAAAATCCACTGAATGGGTCTCACAGAAGAATGGAAATGAGAGATTCAGAAACTTTGAACATATGGACACAGAAATTTTACAATCTGAAGAAGAGAGAACAAAAAAACATGGGCAGAATCTCAAAGTCTGACAAAGAACAAAGGTAACTCAATGCAGAGAGGGCAGTCTTTTCAGCAAATGGTGCTGGAGCAACTGGACATCCACGTGCAAAAATAAAGTAATAAATTAATTAAAAAATAAAATCTAGACGCAGACCTTAAACCTTTCACAACAATTAATTCAAAATGGCTCACAAACTTAAATGTAAAATGCAAAACTATAAAACTTCTACAAGATAATATAGGATAAAATCTAGGTGACCGTGGGCTTGGTGATAACTTTTTAGATTCAACACCAGAAGTTTGATCCATGAACGAAAAATGTGGAAAGGTGAATGTCATTAAAATTAAAAAATTCTGCTCTGCAAAAGACGCATAGAAGGAAATGAAAGGAACAAGCTACAAACTGAGAATATTTAAAACACACTTATTTGATTAAATGACTGGTATTCAATATACAGAAATGGTGTGGTTTGGGAATATAGGAGAGTTTCGGTGGGGTGAGGTCCAGAACCAAGAAGTCTTTGGTGCAAAATGGTGGTTTATTAAAGCATAGGGGACAGGGCTCTGTGCAGAACAGCTGCTGTGTCTTAAGGAGGGGCTGACTGGGGCACCTGGATGGCTCAGTGGGTTAAGCCTCTGCCTTTGGCTCGGGTCAGGATCTCAGGGTCCTGGGATCTCTGCTGGGCAGGGAGCCTGCTTTGTCCTCTCTCTCTGCCTGCCCCTCTGCCTGTTTGTGATCTCTCTCTCAGTCAAATAAATAAATAAAATCTTTAAAAAAAAAAAAAAAAGTGGCTGATTTTCCCCTTGGGAGTTGTAAGGGATTGGGAGGTTTCAAAAGAACTTTCATATGCTAAAGAGGACCAACCGACAAGGTACCACAAGTTCAGGTTGTCTTCCCCTCTAGCAAGATATTAACGAGATGACAGTTGGGAGATTCCTGGAACAACATCACACAGGTCCCATCCAGGAGTGGGGGCTGGGGGGAGGTTGCAGGCTGTCGGCGTATGCTTCGTCTTCCACTTAGCCTTCTGCTCCCTCACCACATATACATCTTAAAATTCAACAGAAGAAAACCAACAACCCATGAAAAGTGGGTAAGAAAAAAAGCTTAACACACCCCACGAAAGATGATATAAAGATGGCAAATAGCCGTAAGAAAATATACACAACATCCTACGTCCTCGGGGACATACAAATTAAAATAACAACAAGATAGCACGACACAACTATTAGAATAGCTAAAATCCAAAACACCAACACCACCAAATGCTGGCGAGGATGCAGGGCAAAAGAAACTCGTTGCCTCTGGGAATGCAAAAGACAAGCACTTTGGAAGACAGTTTGGCTGTTCCTTATAAAACTAAAACAAAACCTACCCTATCCACATGATCTAGGAATCACTGTTCCTGTGCATTTATACAAATGAGCCGAAGACTCATGTCCACACAACCTGCACACGAATGTTTACAGCAGCTTTATTCTGAACTGCCAAAACTTGTAAGAATCCAAGATGTCATTCAATAGGTGAATGGATGTGGCACAGCCATACAACACATATTCAGCAATAAAAATAAATATGACCTGTCAAGTCAAGAAAACACACAGAGGAAGCTTAAATGCATACTGGTAAGTGAAAGAAGCCCATCTAAAAGGGCTACAGATTGTGATTCTAACTATATGCCACCTGGAAAGGGCAAAACTATGGAGACAGTATAAAGATTACTGGTTACCAAGGGACTTGCAAGGTGTGCTGACGTGACAGCACAGGAAAAAAAAATCCCACTAGAATGCAAAACAGGAACACTGCCTTCCTGTCTGTCTCAGAGTAAATATCACCTCATTTAATTAGAGCACTGACACACAGCAATCAGAAGCTGCTGCTACAGCATCCATTGCAGTTTCTAGATTAATCTGGCAGGCACGCTTAGCTGCCTTGAAAGGATATACAAACAATCCCAAAAAGAGAAACAGCAGTAAGAGAAGGATTCCCTGGGTGCAACGGTTTGCATGCTAAAAAAGAAAACAAAACAAAACAAAACAAAACAAAAACCCCTGGGGTACTGGTTCTTGTTCCTGAAAATTAAAGTTCTATTGACTGTGACCATTGTTATGAGACGAGAGTTTATAATTCTTTTTTTAAAAAGGTGGTAACCCTAAATTTATGTACTTAGTGATTGCACTTTCCTAGAGTCAACTTAAAGTAATGGAAGGGAAAGGGAATAAGCTGGTCTTCCAACAGAATGCCACGAAGCATGTGGCGGAGCAGGTCACTGGGGCAGAAATTCCCCGGAGACCCCAAGGAACCGTCAGTGCGTCCCCACAAGATTCTGCATCCCAGACCTGGTTAGAGGCGGGGGCTCCTCTGCGAAGCAGCCCCCCGCCCCAGGCCGCCCGGTGCTTCCGGCGCCGCCCCAGTTTTCCTAACTGCTGCAAAACACCGGGCGCGGGAGGGGTGGTCTGCGCGAAGAAGGGAAATGACCTTCAAGGTCAGAAGCAAACCTTGGTTTCGACCCTCAGCTGGAAACTGCATTGGAGTCGCTGTCGCTAGTGCCTTACAAGTACCCGGGGGAATCCTTCGGGTTGGGCTTTCATCAATTCCCCCCAACCTCCCGCCAATAGAGACACCACCGACGCTCACCTCTGAGCAGGGCCATGGCTGCGAGCGGGGACGAACGCAGGCTTCCTCTCCAGCGATGAGGAGGGGCCCCTGCCCGCCTCCCTGCCTTAAAGCCAGGGGCGGCGACCCGCGAGGCCCCGCCCCCGCCCTTTCACCCACTTCCCGCCTCTCTGGCCGGTCGGTGCTCGTCGCCCCCGGGCGAGACGCCACCCTCCGTGTGAGCACCCCAACCCTGACAGCAGCCGGGCCTTGCAGAAGAGAGCGTTCCTTGCCAGCGCATTTCCTCCTCACTCTCGTCTTTAAAGACTTTACCTCTCTTTTCCCCAGAGAGACAATGACTTGACTCTGCCCTTGTCCCTCCTGTCCCTGGCCTCCATAACCCGCCCCATAATCCTGTACTGAACGTTCCCTTTCACCCCGCACTGGATCGCCTTAGTCACTGGACCAGGCTTCCCGACACCAACACGCCCCCCCATGTGGAAGGGACTCGAGGGCAGGGGGCGCGGGGCCGGAAGTCGGGTGGGCCGGGCGCGAGGTCGCCGCGAGGGGATTGGCTGAGCCTCTGTCGCAGGCTGCGCGGTGCGGCTGCGCGGAGAGGCCGAGGGCGGCGGGGCCTGAGAGGGGCCGGAGGGCAGGGCGCCGGGTGGAGGTGGGGACCGGGCGGAAGGGCGAGCGGGGCGGGGGCGATTGCAGTGCGAGGGAGTGCAGCGAGTGTCGGAAGGCGGGGAGTCCCCAGGGTATCCCGCACATGAGCTCGCAGTATTTTCCTTATATGATCAGGCCCCGTTGCTGGCGGCGCCGCTGGCCTGGAGCCCGAGAGGATTATGAAAATGCGTCAAGCGAAGTGTGGCTGGGGACCGGGGCGGGGAAATGAGGGGCAGCAGGCTAGACTGGAGAGGAGGGAGAGTTAGGGAGGCCTCCGCCGCTGTGACTGTGAGCCCTGGTCGATGATGACGTGACCACTGCGCAATCTGAGTTCTCGGAACCAGGTGATGGAGTGTGTGCTGAGAACGGACTGAGACCGGGCGAGCAGCACGGCCGCGGCGCGGGGGCCGGGAGTGGGTGGAGGTGGGCGCGGTGTGTGTGTCGCGGGCGGTTCCTGTGCCTGCGAAGCTGCGAAGAAGCTGCGGCTGATTACCTCGAGGTTTTCTGTGTACCCTCAGGGCGTGCCTGCCCTTGACTCCCGCTTTCAGGCTCCTGTAGCCTTCTTGCAAGGTGTAAGTCCATCCTTTTCTTTATGAAAACATTTGAACATACAGAGAAGTGGAAACATTTCTGCAGAGAACACCCATACATCCACCACCTGTATTCTGCAGTTGTTAACGTTTTGGTATATTTGTTATATCACATCTAACACCAAACTACCTTATTTTCCTAATGCACAACTTAATACAGTAGTCTCTGCCCCTCACCTCCGAATGGGGGAAGGGGAGGAAGACATGGTCCCAGACCCCTAGGGGATGCCTGAAACCAGATAGTGCCAAGCCCCGGGTTTTTTTCCTGTATGTACATATCAATGATAAAGTTTATGATTTAGGCACAGTAAGAGATTAATAGCAATAATAAGACAATAATATACCGTAATAAAAGTTATGTGGGGGGCGCCTGGGTGGCTCAGTCAGTTAAGCCTCTGACTCTTGATTTTGGCGCAGGTCATGATCTGGGAGTGGTAAGATGGGGCCGTGGTTCAGGCTCCCATCTAGGGGTGGAACCTGCTTAAGATTTTCTTTCTCTCTTACTCTCTGCCCCTGCCCCTGTTTTCTCTTTCTTTCAAAACAAAAAGAAAAGAAAAGTTACATGAACGTGGTCTTTATCTTTCCTTTTTTTTTTTTTTTTTTTAGGATTTTATTTATTTGAGAGAAAGAGCAAGGGCACAAGCAGAGGGAGGGGCAGAGGGAGAGAGAGAAGCCGACTCCCCGCTGAGCAGGGAGCCCTAGGTGGGACTCCATCCTAGGACCCCTGGGGTCATGACCTGAGTGGAAGGCAGATGCTTAACCAACTGAGGCACCCAGAAGCCCCAGTATTTCTTGTACTGAACATTGTTATGAGGATATGAGGTGATAAAATGCCTACCTGATGACGTGAAGTGAGGTGAATGCCTTGGTATTGTGACATAGCCTTAAGGCTACTATTGTCCTGACACCTGAGAAGAATCCTTGGCTTCCCAGACCCTGCTTAGCTGCAGGTGACCTTGGGTCACTGAAATGGAGGAAAGTGAAATGGCAGATGAAAGGGTTAAGTTATACACTACTCTGGGAACACTTGGCTTTGGTCCTATTAGATATCAATATTTATTTCTGGTTTTTCTTAAGGCAGAATTTACATGTGGCCATACGTGAAAATCTTAAATTGGTTGAATTTCACAAGTGTATACACTCTTGTAACCCGTTCTATCATCGGCTATAAAACTATAATTAAAACATGTCCATCATCACAAAAAATCACTTTATTCCCCTTCCTGCCTTCTACCTCCTTGTTGCCCATCGTTCTGCTTTTCTTGCGATCTACTGCAATTTGACCCTCAGATTTATTCCTTTTCTCCTTTCTGTCACTTTAAATGGAATGAATGCAGGAAATGGATAGCTGATTCAATATATAGGTAAGCTCTGAGGGCTATTAACTTTTAAAAATATATAAACTACTTTCCCACAACGAGTATGTGTAGTCAATAGAATTCTGACTGAGATCAAAGCTTCTCACCTACCAGATGATTTTTTTTACCTGCATCTTCTGGATGATGAGCAGGGAGTAATAATAAAAGCTACCATTTTTTGGATACTGTGTGCCCAGCATTGTGCCAGGCCCTTACATATGGTGTTTATAAATTTTATACCCAGGTGTTATAATAATCCTATAAAATGGAATAATATACAATTCACATATATCGGACAAATCCTGACTGAGGGACAGTCTACAACCCCATGAGATAGGTGGTTTTTTTTTTTCCCCTCTCATTTTATAAATGATGAAGCTTAGCCTCAGAGAAACCAAAGACCTTGCCAAGACCTCAAATCTAGAAATTGCTGAATTAGAATTTTGAACATGTGATTCTCAAATGCCCAAGGTCTGTTGTCTTCAGGACTCAGAGGATATGGAAATATAGGAGTGGGGATAGAGAAGCTGACAGGTATCATTAGCTAAGGTCTCTGTTACACAAAATGAAAGGAGGTGAATGTTAAATGAATCTTCCTTGGAGGAAGAAATAAAAGTACTTGGGAAGAAATCCTGTTAAGGATGACTTTCTGTATTTTCCAGTGTATGGTGGCTTAGGTTCTGAAGATTTATTTCCTTTTTTCTGCAGGGGAGGGTGTGTGTGGGGGGAGATGGGGGGGATAAAGTGATTTCAGGTAGGTGGAGAGGTGAGGCAGTGTGTCAGCAGTAAATGTTCATGCTTCCCCAGCCAGAGTTCCTGCGGGAAACAATAGGAGTAACTTTTTTTTTAATCCTCTCAAGGATGATACAGAGCACGTACTATTCTAGGTGTAGGAATTAAGTTATTACATTACATATAACGGAAACCTTGGACTTGATTTGGGTTTGAAAGTAACTCAGTTCTAATATTTTTTTTGCCATCGTAGTTGCTGTGTTAAATAAAGGCTTATTTTTCCTTTAGGGCTAATTATCAGTTGGGCTGCTTTTGGCTGCAAATAACAGAAGACTTAAAATGGCTTAAACAATAAGGTTTTTTATTGTTTCACATAACAAGAAGCCTCCAAGTATTACCGTGTCATCAAATATCCAGGCTTTTGGTTGCTACAGCTGTAGGCATCATGTCTGCACGAAACCATGTTCAAATGGGGGAAGGTGGGTATTTATTGATGTGGTTTGGAGTGGTGGGGTGGTGGGGTTCAGAGCCCATGGCTGAGAAAGAATTCTTGAGATGTCTTTGGAGTGAAAAGGTGGTTTTATCAAAGCACGAGGACGGGACCCATGGGCAGAAAGAGCTGCACTGCGGTGTGAGAAGGGACTGTATATGAAATTTTCTATCCTGTGGACGGGAGGGTGATGTTAGGGAGATTGAGTCTATAGGTTTCTAGAGATTGCTTTTTTCTTATAAATCATTAAGACAGTTGCAAACTGTTGGAGACTCATATCCTGCTGACTGTGATCTCTATCATTTAACCATTTGTTTTCCCCTTTCCTTTATTGGAGGGCAGCCAGGAGTGCCTGGGGAATGTCACATATAGGGGTGTGGAGGGGTCGCATTCTGTCTGGAAGTAGGGACAATTCTTTGGATGATATAATCCTATCTAGGAAGAAGCAGTTCCAAGCTAGACTTGGCTGCTGGTGAGGCTGCGTTCACTCCTATTGGCTGGGAGAGCCTGGGTTGGAATCAAGTGATTTGCCCATGGTCTTGTCTCTACTTAGACAAAACTATTAAGTGGTCTTCAGTCAAATGTTGTCTCATTTCATCATAGGCACAGAGCAGCCTTGCCTGATGTTGGTGTCTTGTGAGATTGGGCCCCAGGGGAGGACACCCTGGCCTGGCTGGGAGGGCCAGTCCAGCTTCTCATACCACCAGGCCTCGCCCTAAGTGCCAGACCAGGTCCCCGATGTTGGGCTTCTTTGCTCTCTCAACTCTAAGTAGTTAAGTGTGTCATGTGTGAAATTTGACCCTTCGTGGACAGTTTTCCTGTGGACGGCTTGATGGTAAGCCTAGACCTCTCTGGGTGTGAGGGGAAGGGTTTCCTGAAGAGTGACCTTATTCTTCCATCAGCCACCCAGAAGAGAGGTGAGTCCATCCTTAGGTAGGAGGTTGGGTTTTATTATTTTTTTAAGGTTTTTGAGAGAGCGCCCGTGTGTGCATGAGCAAGGGGGAGGGGCAGAGGGAGCAGCTGACTCCCTGCTGAGCAGGGAGCCCAATGAGGGGCTCCAGCCCAGGACCCTGAGATCATCACCCGAGCCCAAGGCAGATGCCCAGCTGACTGAGCCACCCAGGCACTCCATGGAGGTTGGTAACTTTTAGAGGTAACTTTTTTTTTTTTTTTAGAGGCAACTTTTCTCCGACCAGTATTTCTATATCATGAAGTGTTTCATGGTGGTTCCTAGTGATGAGTGTTTAAGGGCACCGTCCCTGGAGAAACCTTAACCTATACCTACTGGTGGGGCTGCTGACCTAGGTTTCAAAGATTTCCAGGTGATTTTGGTGTGTGCTCTTATAGGTAAGAAACAGCCTACCCGTGTTTCTGTATATATGTTTAGTTTCTGGGCTCTCTATTCTGTTCCAGGGGATAACTGGTCTGTACCATTTCTACACATCTCACATCTTAATTACTAAAGTTTTATATTAAGTCTTGGTACTTGTTGGGAAAGTTTTCCCTTTAAGGAAGGTCTTCCTTATCATTGGGTCTTGGCACTTCCCTATCAATTTTAGAATAAGTTTGTTGATTTCCCCCACAAAAATACTGTTGAGATTTTTTTTGGTTCTTTGTGTAGATCAACTTGGAGACAACCGACCACAGTTTTGTGGTATTTGTGGATAAGTCTTCTTATCCGCAAACTTGATATAATTTCTCTAGGCTGTCAATGTTTCACTTATGTTATAAACTCCATACAGATCTTGTAAATATTTTCCCACTATCTTTTTTTTATACATATGCAAAGTTATACATGTGACTGAGTCTGTCCCTAGGCTCTGTGTCCCATGCCATTGATCTACTCATCTTTTCCTCTTCCAAACTACTGTGTTTGAATTCTGTGGCTCTGAGGCAATTGCTCAATAAGTCTTGTTATTTTACGGGAAAGTTGCTCCCCACCCCCTACCTACAGGCAGAAGTTTGCCAACCCCTGGTTTAAGTGATCATGATCCATGTTTGAATGTAGGCCCCTAGAATCAAATTTCTCAAGCAGGCATTAAAAATAAGCTTTTCAGCCGATATATAGCTGCAGTTTTAAATTTCATTTAGATTTGGCACACCACTTTCTTCAAAAGTATTTATTTCCACAAATTTTTATCCACAGCTGAATATTATAGTAACTAATACAAGCATCTTTTTCTATAAACAAAGGTGTACTTTACAGATTTGTTCAAAATGAAAAAATATTTTTTTTTAAAGATTTTATTTATTTATTTGACAGACAGAGATCACAAGCAGAGAGAGAGGAGGAAGCAGGCTCCCTGCTGAGCAGAGAGCCCGATGCGGGGCTCGATCCCAGGACCCTGAGATCATGACCTGAGCCGAAGGCAGTGGCTTAACCCACTGAGCCACCCAGGCGACCAAAATGAAAAAATATTTTTATCAGTAGTATTTCTTCTTACAATGTTAGATTTACTCCGGCCTATGATGGGAACCCTCTTCGGAGAAGCAGTCTTTCATCTAAATAATGGTTGCCGGCAAAACGTTATATCCAAATCTGGGTTATTCTGATATAGTATCATCTTAGAAAGTAGCTTAAAATAATATGATTGATTGCTTTATTAGAATTAGAAATTTCTTTAGGAAAACCAATATTTAGTATCAACCTAATAAGAGGAAAGAACAGTCCTATATTTGTCATTGCCATTAACCTCTAATTTTTCTATACCCCCTAATTCTCTAATTATGGCACCAATGTGTGCAAAAAAAAAATGAATTTTGGCTATTCGGCTCATGCAGCAAATTAATTTGAGAAACTGCCTAGGAATACTCTAGGAGGAAAAAGGACAGGGACCCGCCCCCATGCTGTCACACTGTAGTGACCGTCCAGTCCCCTAGGCAGGAGACAAGTGCTTCAATTCCGGATACCCCTGCTGCCTAGAAGGAGGTCAAATGTATGACAACCGTTACCTATGTTGTAGGCAGAAGAAATGAATTCTAATTTATTTCCTATAATCTTGATGCCTAAGAGTGGTGAATTGATGGTAGCAGGGTTAAATTTTTCCTAAGTGTTCCAAGTTCCTGGGTTTCTCTTTTGTCTTGTTTTTACAAAAGCCTGAAAATTTTGAGTATAGGAAAATCAAGGGAAGGAGCTCCTACAGACATGCCCCTTGGAAAGCAGAGAAACAAACTACATAAAGTTTGGGTCTCATCTGCTGTTCAGATGCCACAGAGCAAACTGCAGCTGTGAAGACCCAGGGAGAACGCATAGAGGGAGCGCACTTCCCAGCTCCAGCAATAGTGATTAATCTGCATTACTACCAGCAAACAGAGGTCCCCCGTGATACTGAAAACACAGGCTGTTTATAAATATTTGATTCTTAAATAATCGTTAAAATGCTCTTAATGTTTCAAGAGACAAAGGAAAACTCCACCATGATGTTGAACATTAAAATTCTTCCCTCTGCAACTCTTGTTTCCGAGAAATAATTGACAAGTCAGTTATCTTAGTAACTGCCCAAGGCACGTGGTGAGAGAGGGTGTCCACTAAATTTTAAATAAAAAGGAGAGACAGGTATCCAGTGCGGACTGAGGTCAGACCTTGGTGTTGAATTAAGTTACACAAAGTCATTGATTTCATGAGGTCAGAAAATGTTTAGCTTTAAAAAAGCAAAGAATAAAAATGCAAATAAGTGATTAAAGTTTCTCTAAAGGTGCTTCTTTTCAGTCTCCAAGTGTTAAGTTAAACAGGAATGACCCAAGCATTAACCAGTCGCTGTTATTTCTCTGTTGTTAGTACTCTTACGAAGTACAGCTCCAGTGAAATGCCCCTCTCTCCTGGAAAAGGACTATTCATACCGCCCTCCCCTCTCCGCTGCCACATTTATTCTAATTGCCAAGATTTTATTGAATGAGTCCTTGGCACCTATGATTAACAGTGACAGCAGTAGTGACCCATGGAAATGGAAAGAGTGAGGGTATAAGACACAATGTAAGGACAGCAAAGCCGTTGCATTTATAGAATCACTGCTTTTCAGACTCCTCAACACTAAACAAGGCCATTTGGGGTTATCTTGAAGATGAAGGTCAGTCCTTACATGAAGGCTCAGTTTTAAACTAAAGTGCAACATCAAGCAAATTATACTTAATAAACGACTTTAAAAAGAGGTAGCCACAGACCCACAGACTGGCCTTCCCAAGGAATTCACTGTGTGAGCTGAGGGGGTGCATTTTGGGTTTCAGAGGACATAGCTGTACCCGGCGAAAGGGGGACAGGCACAGCTCTGCGGATACCTGAGAGCGGCCCGCCATGGTTTCCGTGGACATGTCATGCTGGGGTTGTAGATTTGGACAGGATGCTCCAGAGTCGGCCTAGGCGTTGGGCCTTGTGCCCCAGCAGGCCCAAGAACGGCAGAGCAAGTGGAGCCAAATGGACACAGGACCATTCGGGTCTTGGGGTGTGCGGTGTTTCCAGGAGCTTTTGGAGTTGGCTGGCTGATGGACAGGTGGTGCTTGCGTGTGTAAGTGTGTGCATGTGCATGTGTGTGCATAGGGGATGTTCTACCTGCCATTCATGGGGTAATCTTCTTAATGTCATATAGAGGCTCTTCTCAGTTTTGCAATTACCATCTGTTCTGGTCATGGGAGCAACATACTGTTATCTATTAGAAATACGGAAAAAAGGGGTGCCTGGGTGGCTCAGTGGGTTAAAGCCTCTGCCTCCGGCTCAGGTCATGGTCTCAGGGTCCTGGGATCGAGCCCCATATAGGGCTCTCTGCTCAGCGGAGAGTCTGCTTCTTCCTCTCTCTCTCTGCCTGCCTCTCTGACTACTTGTGATCTCTGTCAAATAAATAAATAAAATCTTAAAAAAAAAAAAAGAAAGATGGAAAAAAATCACCAAAAAGTGGGTGTAGAGAATATGCAGGGTTTTCTAATTGAATGCCTACTGTTGAAGAGGCAAGGAAAAATCCTATAAAAGCAGCGAACATAAAATTGGCTGTCATATTT